AGAAGTCTAATTCCGTAAATGGGGTTGGCATAATTGGTAAGCTTTTGGGAGGAAAACTTAATTTAGAACATCACTTCAAAACAAATTTTAGTTTAGTTAAAGATATTTACATTTTTTTTTGAAAATCAATCAGCCTGTTTTTTTGAAAAATTAGATTGCTGGCTCTCCAGCTAGTGAGGACTTTCTAAATTTAAAGTATTAGGAAAAATCACATTAAAAGAAGGACAGACTTTATTAAATATATTTAATTTCTGCATTTCAAAAGGGCAAAGAAGAAAAGTTCACAGAAAATATGACAAAGAATTAACATCATCTTTTTAATGCTAAAATTGATAAATGGAATAACATGTTAAACCTCAGTAGATAAATGGACAGAAGATATGGACAGACAGACAGAATAAGAGATCACCAGTAAATAAAATGGTAGAATATTTGGCCCTGCTAATAATTTTTAAAATGCAAACCAAATAGTAATGAATGACTATATTTGTCCTATCAAATTAGCAAAAATATTTTTCCCCCCAGAGAGAGGGTGTCGCTCTGTCACTCAGACTGGGTTGCAGTGGCATGATCATAGCTCACTACAGCCTCAAACTCGTGGTCTCAAGTGATCCTCCTGCCTTCACTCCCAAGTAATAGCTAGGACCACAGGCATGTGCCACTATGTCTGGCTAATTTTTTTTTTTTTTTTTTTTTTTTGTAGAGGCAGGTTTCTCCCACCTCAGACTCCCAAAGTACTGAGTACATGAATCACCATGGCAGCCAGAAATGTTTAATAGTTGTACTGATTAAGAATGTGGTAAACTTTGGATTCTCATGAATTGTTTTGTGAGTATAAATTCAGCATTTTAGGAAAGCTATCTGGGAATATTAATCAAAGGTCTAAAAAAGGAATGTATAGTTTTACCAATTCAAAGGCATATGATAGTCAATATTTAGTAATAATAAAATACCAGATTTATTGAATGCTTACTGTTTGTACTCGTCTAGGTCTGTACATGTATAAACTCACTTAGTTCTATAACAACCTTATTAGGTAATATTTGGAAAAGGAAATGGAGGTATAAGGAGATTAAGAAACTTGCCCAGGGTTAATAGTAGAATCAGAACTCGATCTCCAGCAGTCCTCAGAACTTAGGTTCCAAAAATTTAATAGTATTTTTAGGTAGAGAATATTTATTATGGAGTGTATTGGTAGTTTATTTAAGCACTAATGATCTAGCCTTTTAGTTGTTTCTTCAAGATATAAAAAAAAATGGTAGTGAACACTTACTGAAAGCTTACTATGTACTTGACAAGTACTTTTCATTTCTTAACTTATTGAATAAACAACCCTAGGAGGGAGATACTATGATTAGGACCATTTTGTAGGTAAAGACTCTAGAGAGATTTGATAACTTGCCTAAAATTACCCAGTAGAACCTGCATTTTAAACCCCAAATCTGTCCACTCTAACAAATTGTAAAAAGACTTACAGTCTGTCTCCTAACCAGTAAGTTGAACTGACTTTATAAAAGTAGTAATTCTTTGGATTTATTTCCTCGAGATTGAGACTTCTTTGGGAATTAAAAACAGAAGCTTTTCTTGTTTTGTATAAGCATTTAACACATAGGAAGAAGAACACTGGAACAAGCTAAAAGTTTTAAAATGTTTTCCCCCAGGATCTCATGGCTAATTAACTCCTGTCTTCTTCCACACATCTTGTATCCTTTGCAGTCTTACAAGTTGTCAAAAATAAAAGTATCATGAATCAAGCAACATGAATCTATGTTACATCTACAGTGGATGCTGTCCTTCTGACAACTGAGTTAAACCAGGTCTCCCTGGCTAGTTTTAAAACTACCGCTTACAGTAATACAGGACTCCTTGTTTTTATGCTGCTTCCTGCGCCTGCATGTCCACTTCATTTACCTAACTCCGTTATCATAGTTTAAAATTGAGTTTAGATGTTACTACTACCAAGAAGCCCTCCTTCATAAAACTTACCCTTTCTATTTGATTTGAATCCAGTCTATTCCTGTTTCCTAAGATTACCTCATGATGTTGGTGCATTTTTTTTCTTGCCTGTTTCCTACCTCTGTACACCAGCATCTAACAAAGCGTTTATCATTCAGTGTGTTTTCTAAATTGATGTGGGGAGAGAGGGTGCAGAGGAATACAAATTTCTGCATAGTAAAAAGCACCAGGAACAAAGTCTAAAGACTGACAAGCCATGGAAAAATATTGTACTGATGTCACAAATAACTACTTTCTTAACATACAGTAGTCCTCCCTTATATGAAGAGGACACATTCCAAGAACTCCAGTGGATGCCTGAAACTGCAGATAGTACCAATCCCTAGATACTGTTTTTTCCTATACATGTATACCTATGATAAAGTTTAGTTTATGAATTAGACACAATAAAATATTCCCAACAGTAATTAATAAAATAGAACAATTATAACTGTGTACTCTAATAAAAGTTATTATTATTTAATAAAAGTACTCATCTATTTTCAGAAAACTATTGACAATGGGTAACTATAACCATGGAAAATGAAACTGTGGATAAGGGGGGACTACTCTATAAAGCTGTATATAGCTCCTACAAATCAATAAGCAAGGCCAAAAAACCCCATAGAAAAATGAGCAAAGGGAAAACAGATCATTTGTAGAAAGGGAGAAATGTCTCAAACATTATAGAAAAAGATTAGTCAGCCCCAATAGTAATAAGATGAATGCAAATTAAGACTACACTGAAATACTGTTTTTAACTTTTCAGGTTAACTAAGACCAAAAAGTTGATGAAATAAACAGACACAATGCTAATGGGATTATAAATTGTTAGATCCTCTTGAGTTGCTTGACATTCTTCCAAAATTACAAGTACATATTTTCTTTAACAATTGCATCTCCAGGAATTTATTCTACAACTATACTAAAGTGATTATGCACAGAATATACATCATTCTGTTGTTTGTAAAAGAAAAAAATGGAGATACTCTGAATGTATATCAATAGGGGGCAGACTAAATGAATTTTGTATATCCATTCAATTAGGTCCCCTGTAGTCATTAAAAAGAGTGAGACAGCTCTGTGTTATAGGATGAGCTTCCAGATATAATATTAAGTGAAACAGCAAAGTGCAAAACAAGTGTATAGAATGATACCACTTGTGTTGGGAAGAAGCAGAAACTGCACTTGAGTGTATGCCTTTTATGTCAACAGACTATATCAGAAAACCCTAACAGTGATTATCTCTGGGAAGAAGCACTGATGGGTCATGGCAGGCTAGGGAACAGATGTAGTAGAAGAGCATATTTTTGCACTGTCTACTCTTTTTAACCTTTTAATTTGTAATCCTGTGTGTACTACCTGTGCTTAAAAATAATTTTTAAAAGAATGAAAATAATTACGAGGTAAAATATGAATTGTTTTGGCAATCACAAAAAGCAAGTCACCAGCAATGAGCAAAATAAAGAAATAACTCATTAGTATTTATTGCATGTTTTTTATGTGCTACATGCTTTACCTATAATTAATTCATGTAATTCTCATAAATCCTCTGAGAAATACCTAGTTTTAACTGTATCACATAGACAAAGAGATTGATGGAGGCATATAAATGCCAGCATTCAGCTAATGAACCAAGAGTTTTTTTGAACTCTTTTCTAATTCCATAGTTGGGTTTTTTTCCCACCAAACCATCTGGCTTCCAATTAGTGACCCTCTTTAGTGAAAGTATAGGTGTACTTTAATAGTGAGCAGTAGTTACCAAAAATGTCTACAAGATGGAAATGTTAGATACAAGCAAGCATTTTTCTTTGTAAAACATAATGCTACATATCCAAGTGGTATATTTAAATAGATGTGTCCTGTTTTACAGTAACATTTCTTTAGTACTTTGTTATATAGATAGTTTTGATTATCATTTAATGCTTCTCTGTTCTCATAACAATAGTTGATAGGGCTGGGTACTTTACATAAATTAATTCTCAACAGGCTGGGCGGGGTGGCTCACACGTGTAATCCCAGCTCCTTGGGAGGATGAGGTGGGAAGATCACTTGAAATCAGGAGGCAGAGTTTGCAGTGACTCAAGATCATACCTCTGCACTCCAGCCTGGGTAACAGAGTGAGATCCTGTCTCAAAAAAAAAAAAAGTCTTCTTGACAAATAATATTATGAGGGATTTGCCATTATCATTTCTGTTTTGTAAGTAAGAAACACAGGTGAAATAGCTTACAGTGTCACAGCTAGTAAGTGGCAGAGCTGGGATTCAGACTTTAGCAGTTAAAAAAAAACAATATTGGCTTGTTTTGATAATGTGATTTTGTTTATAAAAGTTTCACCTGTATATAAATTTAAGAATACTTGTAGTTAGCACTTTTTTTTTCTTTCCCCTTTAAGACAGAGTCTCACTCTGTCACCCAGGCTGGCGTGCAGTGGCACAATCTCAGCTCACTCAACCTCTGCCTCCGAAGTTCAAGTGATTCTTGTGCCTCAGCCACCAGAGTAGCTGGGATTATAGGTGTGTGTCACCACACTGACTACTTTTGTATTTTTGGTAGAGATGAGGTTTTGCCATGTTGGCCGGGTTGGTCTCGAACTCCTGGCTTTAAGTGATTCACCTGCCTTAGCCTCCCAAAGTACTGAGATTACGGGCATGAGCCACTGCACCCAGTCAGCTCTTACTAGTTGGTGTATCTTGGGTTTGTGTGCCCCCTTATTTCAATCTTAATACGTGTATGGAAAAAAGGACATTATGTCTTAAAATTTTAAATTTGAGTTGGTGACCAGAATTTCATTTTTAGTTGTAGGAAACATCTTAGATCCTCCCTTGGGAATTCAGTTATTCTTCCCCTCTCCCAACCCACACCCATGTTTAATGTTGTAATTCTTAAGTTATCCACATTTCGTCATGGAAACATTATTGTCAGGAAATGCCATACTTACTATCCTGTCATATATCTTAAACATGTGAGAAAAATACTTGAGTAAAAATACTTGTTTTCTTTAGTTGCAGAACTTGAAGTGAAAACCAGAGAAAAATTAGAAGCTGCTAAGAAAAAAACAAGCTTTGAGATTGCAGAGCTTAAGGAACGATTAAAAGCAAGTCGTGAAACTATAAATTGTTTAAAAAATGAAATCAGAAAACTTGAAGAAGATGACCAAGCAAAAGACATATAAACAGTTCTCAAGAGAACTTGGTAGTAAGCTAAACTAAAAATAAGGTTGGCTTCACTGGAGAAATGTATTACTGCAAATGCTATGTTTTTTTGAGGAACTTCATAGATAGCTGTTGACCATGGATTGCTCAGCAATGGGAATATGTACTGTTTAAGCAATCTTCAATGGAAAATATGTGTGTAAGAATGGATGTTATGTAGGCATTTTAACCCATTTTAGGAAAGTTCTATGATGGTAAGCACAATTTAAAAATTTTTTATTGAGATATATGTATAGCTTATTTCATTATAAAGTATTACTTGTACAAGTTTTGTACTTCTCTAGTCGTTCGAATTAGTGATAAAATTAATTTGTATATTTAATTTCTTCCAGTTTTTACCTACCCCATCCTATCTTTTTTGTATAAGAAGTATTCAATAAAAGTAGTTTACAGATCCTATTTCTGCCTCCAGGTGTGTTTCTTACTCTTTGAAGACTTTCTGGAAATCCTTCAATACAAATAAAGTATCTCCATAGTATTGTGACCTCACATCTCTTATTGGCACTCATTGTGGCATATAGAAGCTCTTCAATGGTAAAGATTATATCTTTCATTCTGCCTATCACAGTGTCATTATTCTTCACATACAAATGTATTAAATTTTAAGAGCCAGGTGCAGTGGCTCACACCTGTAATACCATACTTTGGGAGGCCAAGGCAGGCGGATCACCTGAGGTGAGGAAGTCAGAACCACCCTGGCCAACATGGTGAAAACTCATCTCTACTAAAAATACAAAAATTAGCTGGGCATGGTGGTACATATCTGTAATCCCAGCTACTCAGGAGGCTGAGGCAGGAGAATTGCTTGAACCAAGGAGGCGGAGGTTGCAGTGAGCCAAGATTGCACCACTGCACTCCAGCCTGGGCAACAGAGTGAGACTTCGTACATGTAGGTAGGTCTCACTTTATGTATGCGTAAATAGGTGTTGCATGCATATAATGGTCATGGCTCAGTCGTGCTCTCTATTGGCTCTTATTTTTTTGTTAGCTTTAATCTTGGTAGGACTTCACTGTGACATTGCAAAGAACTCCTAGCTCAACAATTTTCATTTTTTTTATTGTACTTTAAGTACTTTAAGTACGGGGTACCTGTGCAGAACATGCAGGTTTGCTACATAGGTATACATATGCCATGGTGGTTCGCTGCATCCATCACCCTGTAATCTACATTAGATATTTCTCCTAATGCTATCCCTCTCCTAGCCCCGCAATCCCTGACAAAGCCCCGTGTTTGACGTTCCCTTCCCTGTGTTCATGTGTTTTCATTGTTCATCTCCCACTTATGAGTGAGAACATTCAGTGTTTGGTTTTCTGTTCTTGTGTTAGTTTGCTGAGAATGATGGTTTCCAGCTTCATCCATGACCCTGCAAAGGACATGAATTTATCCTTTTGGTGGCTTCATAATATTCCATGGTGTGTATGTGCTACATTTTCTTTATTCAGTCTATCATTGATGGGCATTTGGGTTGGTTCCAAGTCTTTGCTATTATGAACAGTGCTGCAATAAATATATGTATGCATGTGTCTTTATGATAGAATGATTTGTAATCCTTTGGGTATATACCGAGTAATGGGTATGTATGCATGTGTCTTTATGATAGAATGATTTGTAATCCTTTGGGTATATACCCAGTAATGGGATTGCTGGGTCAAATGGTATTTCTGGTTCTAGATCCTCAGGGAATTGCCACATTGTCTTCCACAATGCTTGAACTAACTTACACTCCCACCAGCAGTGTAAAACTGTTCCACATCCTCTCCAGCATCTGTTATTTCTTGACTTTTTAATGATCTCACATTCGAACTCGTGTGAGATAGTATCTCAATTTGCATTTCTCTAATGACCAGTGATGATGAGCTTTTTTTCATGTTTGTTGGCTACATAAATGTCTCCTTTTGAGAAGTGTCTGTTTATATCCCCACTTTTTGATGGGGTTGGTTTTTTCCTGTAATTTTGTTTAAGTTCTTTGTAGATTCTGGATATTAGCCCTTTGTCAGATGGGTAGAATGCAGAAATTTTCTCCCATTCTGTAGGTTGCCTGTTCACTCTGATATTTTCTTTTACTGTGCAGAAGCTCTTTAGTTTAATTATATCCCATTTGTCAATTTTGACTTTTGTTGCCATCGCCTTTGGTGTTTTAGTCAGAAAGTCTTTGCCTATGCCTATGTCCTGAATAGTATTGCCTAGGTTTTCTTCTAGAGTTTTTATGGTTTTAGGTTTTACATTTAAATCTTTAATCCATCTTGAGTTAATTTTTGTATAAGGTGTAAGGAAGAGATCCAGTTTCGGCTTTCTGCATATGGCTAACCAGTTTTCCAAATACCATGTATTAAATAGGGAATCCTTTTCCCATTGCTTGTTTTGTTAGGTTTGTCAAAGATTTGGCATTATTTCTGAGTCCTCTGTTCTGTTCCGAAGGTCTATATCTCTGTTTTGGTACCAGTACCATGCTGTTTTGATTACTGTAGCCTTGTAGTATAGTTTGAAGTCAGGTAGTGTGATGCCTCTAGCTTTGTTTCTTTTGCTTAGAATTGTCTTGGCTATCTGAGCTCCTTTTTGGTTCCATATGAAATTTAAGGTGTTTTTTTTTTTCAATTCTGTGAAGAATGTCAATGGTAGCTTGATAAGGATAGTATTGAATCTATAGATTACTTTGGGCAGTGTGGTCATTTTCACAATATTGTTTCTTCCTAACCATAAGCATGGAATCTTTTTCCATTTGTTTTTGTCCTCTTTTATTTCCTTGAGCAGTGATTTGTAGTTCTCCCTGAAAAGGTCCTTCACCTTCGTTGTAAGGTGTATTCCTAGGTATTTTATTCTCTTTGTAGCAATTGTGAATGGGAGTTCGCTCATGATTTGGCTCTCTGTTACTGGAGTATAGGAATGGTTGTGATTTTTGCACATTGCTTTTGTATCCTGAGACTTTACTGAAGTTGCTTATCAGCTTAAGGAGATTTTGGGCTGGGATGATGGGGCCTTCTAAATATACAATTATGTCATGTGCAAACAGAGATAATTTGACTCCTCTTTTCCTAATTGAATACTTTATTTCATTTTGTTTCCTGATTGCCCTGGCCAGAACTTCCAGTACTATGTTGAATAGGAGTGATGAGAGAGGGCATCCTTGTCTTGTGCTGGTTTTCAAAGGCAATGCTTTCAGCTTTTGCTCATTCAGTATGAAATTGGTTGTGGGTTTGTCATAAACAGCTCTTATTATTTTGAGATACATTCCATTAATACCTAGGTTATTGAGAGTTTTTAGCATGAAGTTGTTGAATTTTGTTGAAGGCCTTCTCTGCATCTATTGAGATAATTAAGTGATTTTTGTCTTTGGTTCTGTTTATGTGATGGATTACATTTATTAATTTGCATATGTTGAACCAGCCTTGCATCCCAGGGATGAAACCAACTTGATTGTGATAGATAAGCTTCTTGATGTAGTGTTGGATTCAGTTTGCCAGTATTTTATTGAGGATTTTCACACTGATGTTCATCAGGGATATTGGCCTGAATTTTTTTTTTTTTTTGGTTGTGTCTCTGCTGGGTGTTGGTATCAGGATAATGTTGGCCTCATAAAATGAGTTAGGGAGGTTTCCTTCTTTTTCTATGGTTTGGAATCGTTTCAGAAGGAATGGTACCAGCTTCTCTTTGTACTTCTGGTAGAATTTAGCTATGAAACCGTCTGGTCCTGGACTTCTTTTTGTTGGTAGGGTATTAATTCCTGAATTGGTCTATTCAGGTATTCGACTTCTTCCTGGTTTAGTCTTAGGAGGATGTAAGTGTCTAGGAATTTATCCATTTCTTCCAGATTTTCTGGTTTATTTGCATAGAGGTGTTTATTGTATTCTCTGATGGCAGTTTGTATTTCTGTGGGATCAGTGATAATACTGCTTTTATCATTTCTTTTTGCATCTGTTTGATTCTTCTCTTTTCTTCTCTATTATTCTGGCTAGCAGTCTATTTTGTTGATCTTTTCAAAACAGCAACTCCTGGATTCATTGATTTTTTTGAAGGGTATTTCATGTCTCTGTCTCCTTCAGTTCTCCTCTGATCTTAGTTATTTCTTGTCTTCTGCTGGCTTTTGAATTTGTTTGTTCTTTCTTCTCTAGTTCTTTTCATTGTGACATTAGGGTGTCAATTTTAGATCTTTTCTGCTTTCTCTTTTGGACATTTAATGCTATAAATATCCCTCTAGACACTGCTTTAAATGTGTCCCAGAGATTCTGATACATTGTGTCTTTGTTCATTGGTCAAAGAACCTCTTTATTTCTGCCTTCATTTTGTTATTTATCCAGTAGTCATTCAGGAGCAGGTTGTTCAGTTTCCATGAAGTTGTGCGGTTCTGAGTTAGTTTCTTAATCCTGAGTTCTAATTTGCTTGCACTGTGGTCTGAGCTATTGTTGTTATGATTTCCATTCTTTTGCATTTGCTGAGGAGTGTTTTACTTCCAATTATGTGGTCAATTTTAGAATAGATGCGATGTAGTACTGAGAAGAATGTATATTCTGTTGATTTGGGGTGGAGAGTTTTGTAGATGTCTGTTAGGTCTGCATAGTTCAGAGCTGAGTTGAAGTCCTGGAGATCCTTAGTAATTTTCTTTTTCATTGATCTGCCTAATAGGACAGTGGGGTGTTAAAGTATCCCACTATTATTGTGTGGGAGTCTAAGTCTCATTGTAGGCCTCTAAGAACTTGCTTTATAAATCTGGGTGCTCCTGCATTGGGTGCATATATATTTAGGATAGTTAGCTCTTCTTGTTGCATTGATCCCTTTACCATTATGCAATGCCCTTCTTTGTCTCTTTTGATCTTTGTTGGTTTAATGTCTGTTTTATCAGAGACTAGGATTGCAATCCCTGGATTTTTTTGCTTTTCATTTGCTTGGTAAATATTCCTCCATCCCTTTATTTTGAGCCTGTGTGATTCTTTGCATGTGCGATGGGTCTCCTGAATACAGCTCACCAATGGGTCTTGACTCTATCCAATTTGCCAGTCTCTGTCTTAATTGGGGCATTTATCCCATTTACATTTAAGGTTAATAGTGTTATGTGTGAATTTGATCCTGCCATTATGATGCTAGCTGGTTATTTTACCTGTTAATTGATTCAGTTTTTTCCTAGCATTGATGGTCTTTACAATTTGGTATGTTTTTGCAGTGGCTGGTACCAGTTGTTCCTTTCCATGTTTAGTGCTTCCTTCAGGAGCTCTTGTAAGGCAGGTATGGTGGTGACAAAATCTGTGAGCATTTGCTTGTCTGTAAAGGATTTTATTTCTCCTTTGCTTATGAAGCTTAGTTTGGCTTCATATGAAATTCTGGGTTGAAAATTATTTTCTTTAAGAATGTTGAATATTGCCCCCTACTTTCTTCTGGCATGTAGGGTTTCTGCTGAGAGATTCGC